AATCTTGGAAGATGCAAATATTGTAGTTGTCTGGTTTGTCTTTATAAATACTTTTATCCATTTGATCATATAATCACTCAGCTTGTTTCCTCGTTTCTCAATATAATAACTATTGATATTTTGAAGTCTTTTCGCATGATTTCAGAACAGTTCCTTTTCCTTTTTTCTTTGTAATCAAATTTCATTTGGGAGAATTTCCTATCGTTATTAGTTTTAATGGTTACTAATGGATATTGAGAGTAAAATTATCAATAGAAAGAAAATAATGAATGGCTAATGTCTAGCGATCTTCATTCATGATATTTTATATTGAATATCATGATAATCAGAGATTGAAATAAAAATATTGTAGTAACTCATTTTCTAGAGAATTAATTTCCTGAAATTGAGAAGAAGCTTCAATAATATTTGGTATCTTATTTAGATTTCGAATGAATGAAAAAAAAAACATTCTGTCTTATTACGTCTTGGAATGTATGTTAATCTCCTCTAATTTAATTTATAGATTTCCCTCTTCCTGATATAACAGAATATGAATGGAATTTTTTCAAACAAAATCTGCTATTCTTTTAACTTTAGAAAATATTTTCTGTTTAATAGAATCAATATATTGCAATATAACATATTTCAAATCGGGAATTTCAACATTGTATAATATTTCGATTCAAAATGTTAAACTACTGACAAAGTCGCCTGAAATAAATGTCGATTATTGGCACGAAATCTTTTTCATTTCTTCCATGTGAATTCTTTGGTACAAGTTCATGGTAGTGTTAAATTTGCCGTTTAATAAAATAATTTATTTTAAGTATATTTTAAAAATAATTAGCATTAAAACATATCGATTGTACACACATTACTTTTAAAATGTATTCAAACACTATTAAGGTATTGATCTAGAAAGAAAAGTGGAAATTGATCAATTACCATTTATTCATGTTAGATTCATTAAATCGATCCACTACTCATCTCGAAAAAATTATCTACTAAACTTTAGCAATTTTTTTTTCAATATATTCATGTGTGCGAAATATACTTTTTTTTTTGTTTAAGATAATTGGTCATTATCAATACATTATCATTTTAAATAAAACTCGAAATGGTCTACAATTTTCAATTGTTTTCTTTTAGTTGAATAAAATTAAACAAATTTTTCTTATTTTTGTCTTATTAATAATAAATAACTGGTCGGGTGAAGGAGATATTTTATCATTTTTAGTTTTGCAACAGTTGACTAACATCTTCATACCTTATGATTGTAATTTTAATAATCCTGTTAATATTGTTTGACGTCAAAATAATAATTCCTCTTGACAATACTAGTCGTTCGCTATCTTTAAAGCCATTACTGATTTATTTCTATGATGACCTATCCTTTTTCTAATAAAATGAAAGGAAGAAGTTATTGATAAACCAGGATAATATCATTTCAGACTGCTTTCTTTTTATTGCATCTTGAAAATTCTCAATGAAAAGATGAGATAATTCAAAAATTACAAATCAAATTAGCCAAGAAAAACTAAATGATAATTACTTGTTCTATACATATTTAACCAGATCTAGTATTTGTTACGGGTCTATTTTATGTAATGATCAAATTTTATTCTCACGATAAAACAATTGTTATTACTTATTGATTGTGTAATACAATGATAATGTAATCATTACCTGTCCATATGTATAGTGTACTAACATATCAATTTCTGGAAATTACAAGTTTCTTTTGTTTTGTCTCATGTAAAAATTTTCCAACTTAGTACTATGCGCATAAATATATACATAATATGCTACCGTTAATATATTTATTATTGTTCTCATACTATTTTCTCTTTCAATAAACTAACTCTGTTAACCTGTGAGTTTTTTATTCATTATCGAATTCAACAAGACATGACAAATCAATCATTTGTATAATAAACATAAAATCATCACAAATAATTGACTTTATTCTTTATCTGCTTATGCACTTATTTCCTCAATATTATCTGAAGGCTATACTATACAATTCCTATAACATAGTTTTATATTTTTAAGGGTGTGGGTGTGTGTGTAGATATTGCTTCATACAAGATAAACCCACACCCAACTTTAAGATGTTTATTTTGATATTCTGTGTATTATTTTAGCTAGTAGCCATGCATACTATCCATGGAAATCATACAATACCTTCCAAAATTACAAAAGTGACTTCAGACTCGTGTACAGTGCACGAAGCTAAGTCGAATAAGTTACTTTAAAGTGTTCTTGTGCTCGTATGTAGTGCAATTACGATCATGGATGTATCTCATGGATATATAAGAGAACGTTCATGCGAAGTTCGATAATCACTTCAGTATACGAAGTACTGGTAATAATTTAGTTTTCTGATTCTTTTTTATGTGCGTTTGAAAGGACATTGTCTGAAATCACCAAATCAGAATTGTCAGCTCATTTGAATGTACTATAGTACAGTTAGTCCATATCGACTTGTTAGTACTAAAAACTTACAATCAAAAAGAAAGCCGAAAATAGTCTCATAAACGTTTATAAGGATTATGCTTTAACAAGTTAGAGAATTTTTTCGTGTAGTATACAAAAAGATAGAGCATCAATAGCTGTAAACAGTGAGCCGTTTGAATTATTGTATATTATCTATTTAATCGGACTCGGCAGTAAACCAAACAGAATCAAGCTGAACTTTTTATATGCTATGTAACTTTTAATTCGCCACAAAATAGTACAAAAATCTTGAACAAAAGAGGTCTTTTGGAACGACATCAGACTCACATGTCTCTCATACATATTAATTATTCAACAAATATGAAATATCTTTAGCAATTTCCATGAATATCATACAGTCACCTTCTAGAGAAATTTTTTTCTACGAAAAACTGATCACTCGGAGACCACGATGTTGTGGAGGACCACAGATAATTTTTCAGAAAAAAAATGAAGTTCTTAGAACTTATTCAATTCAATATAGTTTTCGACGGTGATTCCGGATGTTACATGTATTATCTCATGAAATCGGGTGTGAGTGTGGGTAGAAATTCACTTCACGAACACCCACATCATCAATAATGATTATCAAAACATTTTTAGTACGATCATTTTCATAGATATGAAATTTATTTTCAATAAGAAAGAATACAAAAAACTATTCCAAAAGAAGCGAATTTATTTGCTTATTCATTACGGGTTTAAAACTTTTGATTTGATTTGATTGACAAATTTAAGAAACTTATTTTAATTTACTGACTAGAGAATGATCGAAATTAATCTATACATTCGTCTTAAATGATCTCGATAGGTTAAATCATATCGTCATAAAATTCTACTTTTTTAAAGTTTGCGTAAAATGAATCTTTGTTTTTTGAGTTTAAATATTTTTCAATCAATTCAAATGTTTGATCTTGATGAAATGCAATCTAGAAAGAGAAACATCGAATAAGTTCAGAAAAAAACATTTAATAGCATATTCATAATTAAATGTATAGAGTAAATATTTCCATGTTACTTCAATATATGTATCTTGAATATTTAAGATTTGTTTTGTGTTTGAGAAATTTGTTGGAGAAGTATTTGAATAAACTGTATAATTGATTGTTGAGAACGAAAGAATAGCAAGAAATAATTTCATAATTATCATATCAAAATTAAATAGACGTTTAATACGTTGAACAGCAAATACTACATCTAGATTTGAAATTAATTCAACTGCATTATAAAAAGCAGGATGATCCATCAATTCAATTTGATGATAAATGTATTATTAAGTAAACTAGAACGATCATCTGCAGGTAAACAAAGAAAATCTCGATTATTTTTGTATAATAATGGAGTTTTATCTATTTCCATTTCGAAAAACTCTATCAATGATATACTTTTAAAAAGTAATTTCAGAGGTAAATTCGTTTGTTGATGCATAAAACTTTTACCAATTAATAATCCACTGTGTTCATCATAACAATGTGATAAATTTGAGAGAAGATTCCATTGATCGATAGTTAATGTTGATTGATCTGATCGTAGAAGATTCAAAGTTGGAAGGTAAATAGGAATAAAACATTTCAACAACAACAAAAACAAAAAAAAGATTCATGTCACCATCCGCATCTTTTTCAGATACAATCATATAACAGTTCTCTTCGTTCACTATAAAATTATTAATGCTTTCTATTGTATTCTTATTTTCACATTCATCGCGTCTAGTGTTCTTCTCTCGTTTTATTCGATGGTCTTTTTCTTTCTTCCTTTGTTAATATAGATGTTGTCGTCTATAAATATTTCTCTCGTGTCCCAGCATCCTATATATATAGGCTTTTTCATTGTTGCAAATAAACTTGCGAGTGAAATTTAAATCTTACAAATCAATTTTATTCTTTTGTGATAGAAAAAAAAACAGAGTTGGTCAGTGCATCTTCGATAGGATTAAAATATAGGACTCACATACAAATGATGATCTAGCAAAACAAGAAAAAGCATGAACATGAGAGAGAGAGAGCATTGAATATAACGAAATCTAATGATCAGACAAATTTTCTGAATTGATTCATTGTTTGTTTTATTAATCATGTACTCAATGAGATTTGAAAATCTGCTGTTAATCATCAATATCTATAATCAGAAGATGTTTGAAAAGAGAGATATAGAAGGCCTTCAAAGACGTTTTCACATGAATATCCTGTATTTTTAATAATCAGTCCTACGAAAACAAAAATGAATATCAAAATTCGATCCTATTTGTCAAAGAAAAAAAAATGATATATAAACTTGTTAGATGTTTTCAGTTCATGTGTTGTCAATATTTCTGGAATGGAAATAGTTAAGAATTTTAAGTTGAGAATATCATTACTATTCGTTTATATTTACATCTATCTGTTGTGAAAATTTCAAAAATTTTTCTTCTAAATGTAATTTTAAAAACGATTGTAATCTTTTTTTTATTCATCTTTCAAAAGAAAATATTCAAAATGATCGAAAGATAATAATCAATTCATATGTGAGACTTTGAACTTAAACTATCGTGATCGTTTTTTTTTAAATAAGACAATTAGAAATAACCTTACCTGTTCAGGTTCATTTAATCTAGCTATAACTGTTGATGTTGTTTGTATTGGAATATCAATTTCATTGGTGTTTTTCTTTGTTTTATTTCTGTGCGAATAAGATCCCCGAATCATTTCAATTTGCATTTCATTTGTGAAACATTTACGAAGTCGACAAGAACTACATACATGACGAGTATTAATATTTATTTCACAATTACCATTCCAACGACATTGAAGTAATTTCTTCAGAAAAAGAAAAAAAAACAAAAAATGAATATAATCGAAATAGAAACGATTATTTTTCAATTCACCTGTCTTTCTACGAGATTTCGTTTGAAAAATATTTTACATGAATGACATGATATAACACCATAATATGCATCGATAGCTGGAGCTCTACATATTTTGCATTCAGTCGATACTGGTTTTGATTGTCGCTTTTTACCAATGGATTCCTTGGACGATGATTTTTCCATAATGAAAATATTTTTTTTTTATAAAATTGATTTTAATATTAAAAAAAAATGAACGATATTTAAATGTCGATTTTTGATAGATATTATTTCAAAGAAAAAGCATAAAAAATAATTACGAAATATTATAAAGTGTGGCTAATACCAAAGTCGAGCAAAAAATTAGGTTTAATTGATTTATACATGAGTGGATAGACACTACGACACTGATTACGATTATATAGTTTTGAATATTTTTACTCCTTAGCTCAGGCAAGCAACTTAAAAAAACAAAAATAACTCTTTCTTTAGAAAATCAAAGATTATTCTAACTTACGTTGAATATTCATTACTAAAACTCTGATATCTATGTGGTTTTGGGAAAAGTCGATTGTAGTAGGTCTATTTTACTGCTATCACAATACTCACTTTCGATCAGGCTGACACTTTCTTCACGAAGCATTTGAATCGTCCGGTTAATGGGAAAAAACAAGTAACATAACCTTTTAATTTCATATCTTAGTATTGTTGAGAAAGTCCCCGTTTTTCATTACACACAGTATTCGAGATTAACATAAAAAATTACATAGAATGATCTGTTTTTTGTCAATAAAATATTTTCCGTCGAAATCTAGACTCTGCTCACCGTCAAAGCAAAAAACTAAATAAAAAATAGCTGGAATGATGAAGTACAGACCATATTTTGACCAAAAATATTCTTTGATAAAACAACAGATCATTTTATGTAGTTTTTTTTTATGCTGATTCCGAATACCGTATTCATATAGTCAAATGTTAAATACTTTGCAGTGAAAATTTCAAAGTACCATTCTATCTTTAGCTATTTTATTATTGCTCTGAAAAACGTGAACTTTCTCAACAATACTAAGATATGAAATTAAAAGGTTACGTTACTTGTACTAGATTCGTCGAGTTATGTAATGCACTTCATAGTTATGCGAGTTCAAAGAAAGCTTTTTTTTTCTTTTATACAACGTTTGTAAATTAATTTTTCAATATGGATAATATTTCGTACAATATTATTTTCTTCGATAGAATTGATAGAAAATTCTCAAAATCTGTTTGTTCTCTTTATTATGAAATTCTAGTTTGAAACGATAAAGATTCATGCAAAATTTTTTCTTCTATGATCCAAATAGGCAATCAATCTTCTGGCAGAATATGATATATCTAGTACATGATCAAAGCATTCAAGAACGTGTTTGTAGTATATGCTTGTCACTAAATTGAGCGCATAAGTAAAGATTCTTCTTCTCTTAATAATCTTTATTTTTCGATTACTCAAGATTATCATTAAGGACAAATGATCCAGTAAGAAATCAGTGACTTTAGCATAGAAATGTTCACGTCCTAGATTGAATCCTCAACGATAATTTATTCATCAAGTAAATGTCGATTTGCACGATAGTAGGCACCCATTAAGGGATAAATTGAAATCATTACAATTAGTGATGATTCACACTGAAAACATCAAAGTTTTTCTGAGAGCATGAAAATAATAATAAAATATTCGAGAAAATGATTCAAAGAAAAGCAATAAGAAAATACTTTAAAATTGCATAAGATTGTGACAAAATGTTTTTTCTTTCTTTATTTTTTACCAAATCTCTAGTCAATTTTATTGAAATATTCGTTTTATGACATAAACTTTGTCATCATGTTCCGAAATTGCTAAGAAGTGTCGATGAAATATATAGCCGCCGAAAACCATAAGTCTTGAGAGTAAAGGTTAGGGTGAAGGTAGAGATGCATAAGTGCTAGTGGAGTCATTGAGGAAGAGAATATTTCATATCTACGCTCTTCTTTGAAGAATGAATACTAGAAAAATTCGGTGATAAAAAATACTTTCACGCTCAGATATAGGGTGTGGGTAAAAGTAGACCAACGCCCACACTCACATTAGGCCTTCATCTCGGACTACTGTAGAGACGGATTTCCTGAAAGTTTTTCTTCATTTTACAGCAAACCATGCTTGAACTCTCTCAAATGAAATGTTTTGAATAATCTCAATGGTGTTCATAATAAAGAGGTTTCGCTGTAAATGTGGATAAAACTGCTTATGATATGTAGAACATAAATCTAAGATAAAAAGAAAAGTTATTAATTATTTTCAATATTGAAATTGTTCGAGAGAAAGAAATTTTTTTTTTTCAAAATTAAGAATGACACACTTCGTCATAGGCGTGAAATTGAGTATCAAATGATTCTTAATACATAAGAAAAACAATGTTATTCCTAGTTCGAATACATTTTACTTTTTTAATAGTATTATAAAAAATTCTTTCAAAGGTGTAGACATAGCATAACTACTCTCACTCATTCACTCTAGTTTGACGGACAAGTAACATTAAATATATATAGAAAATTCAAAGAAAGACGCACTACTTTGTAAATTATCTTAGTGATTATACTATATGATTAACTTCGTCGAACCACATTATAGTGAGACAAATTATTCTATATCGCAATATTCTTTCGAAATCATTTTGCTAGCTGATTCTACAGTTCTCAAATGATGTTCAAAATATGACATCTTCTTTCAAAAGCTTTTATAAATTCAATCTGAAAGTAAGGGTGGGGTTAATAAGAGGAGTTACACCTACATCCACTCCACGGATTTCAAATGCATTCACCAACATCTGCTTGAATTAAGGGCGAAAAAGCGAACCCCAGTATTCCAGATGCGATAAGAATACGCAGGACAGAGAGAATACGATAGAGGGCGAGAGTGTGGAGATAGGGTGGATGTCGGTGGGCGACAGTGAAGTACGGCGAAATGCTACTCATCATCCACCTCACTCTCATCCACCCACTTTTTTTTGGTTACTTACTTTTTAAGCGAAGAAAAGAGCTGACAAGTTCAATTATTCGCAAGACTTTCAAAAAGCAGCGCTATAATTCAAAAAGCGCTTTTTAAGAGGTGCTCCACGCGAATCTTAAAGAACCTCTAAATCCAAATGTTTACAAGTTTCTGACATATTTTTGAAGAACACTTAAGATGATCACAATCTATCTTGGAAGGTAAAACGGTTTTTCATGTTTTTTAATGTATTGCCAGTATTTTATCGTTTTTTCAGCAAAAAGAAATCCGAATTGATTCATATAATACATGCAATGAAAGAGCGAATTCTGCCATACAAAACTGTATACATAGATTTTCTTCCACTCCGAACATGTGTGAATTATAAGAGCAAAACTGAAGAATATACACCACTTGTTTGGTGGTCTTGACTCGTTTTTCTATCAAAATTTCTTAGTTCGTACTTCATATCTCTGCTAATTGCCGTGAGCTCAGACAATTCTTTACATATCCTAATAGAGCGAAAAAATGGCTATCAAACAAGTACCAAATAATTGATATAAAACTAGCGACAAGTCTCCATTCGAGGAGTACAAGATATGCAACTAATCGGTCAATAATCAATTTTCTCATACGTGTTCACCACATGTTTCTACTCTGATATTTGCTAATATTTTGATGTAAATGAAGATTATTTTTTCTATTAAAAACTGCATCACGTAGGCTAACTTGACATTTCGAAAATATGATCTATCACATGATTCCCACTGCATTCAGAGTATTGGATCATCCTAAAGCTGAAAACATTGCTTAGAATAAAAGACACGGTTTGTCAAAGAGAATATTTATGAACTAAGGTTAATTTGAGGATAGGCCATGAGTTGATAAATACTTCAAGTTCAATGTTACTATCATTTCATTTGAGTTCAGTCATATATGCCAATTTTTTTTCACTTATTGTTATGGCTCTTTTTTTTGTTAGTCTTGTTCTTTTTCCAATATATATAATGACGTTTAGCATAACATCATAGGCTGCTTGCCATTGATACCATATTATCAGTCATGGTATGAAACCGACCAATAGCTTATCTGTTGAATTATCATGAAAGAAAGTGATAGAATTTTCAGAATATTGAGACAACACAGATAATTTACAGTGCACGATATAGATTCATTTATGGAAAACAAAAACATCACTTTAACCATTCGAAAATCTCTAATCATTTGACTTGAAGCTTAAGCTGATCTACAAGAAGAGAACTAACAACACATCATTGATCATTTTTCATGATAGAAATAATATTTATTTTTTTCAAATAAAATATTTCATCATCAGAACTGACAACAATTCACCCTCTATAATAAGATATTTGATTTCTCAGAAACTCATTGACCCTTGCAATGCTGTTCAGGAATATGATTGGAAAGAGTATTTCAATAATCAATGAATAGTGAGATATATGCTTTGTAATAGTAAGCAGAGATGTCCATGGCGCTGCTGCCGCCGTCGGGTGTGGGTTAGAAGAGGAGTCGCACTCTTACATGCATCCACATTTACACCCATCTTCAAGTGAAAAGTCTTAGCAAAATTTTCATTGTAATGGAGAAACAATGTTTGGTTTCTTCCACGAAAGGAATCTAATAGTAAGTGTCGTTATTGCTTGAGAAATAATCGTTAAACCACCATAAAGTCCCAAGAGGGATGTGATCAGATCGATTGTTTCTTGTCGTGCATTGTATGAATAGGAGCATGATGAAAGAGCACATTGATCAAAATAATTCTTATAGGACACATTTATTGAATATTGTTCAATCATGAGCTCTTCTAAAATGGCTTCGAATGTCTCATTGAGATCAAACCGACTGATGCTAGCTGACGAATTGAGTGCTTTGAAAGTTTTTGTGGCATCAATACATTGTTGCTCGTAAAAACATTTAAGTGTTGAATGTAGAAGAGCTTCCAATGGATAACAACCTGACATTTGATTTCCGGATGGTTGGCTACATTTCGGTGGAATTCCACAATTGCATGTTGGATACTGAACGGGTTCTGTATAGAGATAGGAGAATTCAGAGGGATTGACGTTTTTGATTTTCCAATTCGTAGAATATAAACTTGTCAGTGTATTCGCTTCGGTCACTTCACGAATCATATTGACAGTGGTCAGAAATGATCGTGGTGTAGTTTTTTTAAAATCATTCA